ATATGTTCATGTGTCCCAAGGTGATTGAACACATATGAGTTCATGTGTCCCAAGGTGATCATGCACAGATGTGTTAATCTGTCCCAAGGTGATCATGCACAGATCTGTTCATGTGTCCCAATGTGATCAAGAACAGATGTATACATGTGTCCCAAGGTGATCATGCAAAGATGTGTTCATGTGTCCCAAGGTCATCATGCACAGATGTGTTCATGTGTCCCAAGGTGATTGTGCACAGATTTATTCATGTGTCCCAAGGTGATCATGCACATATGTATATATGTGTCCCAAGGTGATCATGCACAGGTGTGTACATGTGTCCCAAGGTGATCATGGACAGATGTGTTCATGTGTCCCAAGGTGACTGTGCACAGATGTGTACATGTGTCCCAAGTTGATCATGCACAGATATGTTCATGTGTCCCGAGGTGATTGAACACATATGTGTTCATGTGTCCCAAGGTGATCATGCACAGATGTGTTAATCTGTCCCAAGGTGATCATGCACAGATGTGTTCATGTGTCCCAATGTGATCATGAACAGATGTATACATGTGTCCCAAGGTGATCATGCAAAGATGTGTTCATGTGTCCCAAGGTGATCATGCACAGATGTGTTCATGTGTCCCAAGGTGATCATGCACAGGTGTGTACATGTGTCCCAAGGTGGTCATGAACAGATGTGTTCATGTGTCCCAAGGTGATCATGAACAGATGTGTACCAGTGTCCCAGGGTGATCATGCACAGATGTGTACATGTGTCCCAAGGTGATCATGCACAGATGTATACATGTGTCCCAAAGTGATCATGCACAGATGTGTACATGTGTCCCAAGGTGATCATGCACAGATGTGTTCATGTGTCCCAATGTGATCATGCACAGATGTATACATGTGTCCCAAGGTGATCATGCACAGATGTGTTAATCTGTCCCAAAGTGATCATGCACAGATGTGTACCGGTGTCCCAGGGTGATCATGCACAGATGTGTACCAGTGTCCCAGGGTGATCATGCACAGATGTGTTAATCTGTCCCAAGGTTATCATGCACAGATGTGTTCATGTGTCCCAAGGTGATCATGCAAAGATGTGTACATGTGTCCCAAGGTGATTGTACACAGATTTATTCATGTGTCCCAAGGTGATCATGCACATATGTATATATGTGTCCCAAGGTGATCATGCACAGGTGTGTTCATGTGTCCCAAGGTGATCATGAACAGATGTGTTCATGTGTCCCAAGGTGACTGTGCACAGATGTCTACATGTGTCCCAAGTTGATCATGCACAGATATGTTCATGTGTCCCAAGGTGATTGAACACATATGTGTTCATGTGTCCCAAGGTGATCATGCACAGATGTGTTAATCTGTCCCAAGGTGATCATGCACAGATCTGTTCATGTGTCCCAATGTGATCATGAACAGATGTATACATGTGTCCCAAGGTGATCATGCAAAGATGTGTTCATGTGTCCCAAGGTGATCATGCACAGATGTGTTCATGTGTCCCAAGGTGATCATGCACAGGTGTGTACATGTGTCCCTAGGTGATCATGCACAGATGTAAACATGTGTCCCAAGTTGATCATGCACAGATATCTTCATGTGTCCCAAGGTGATTGTGCACAGATGTGTTCATGTGTCCCAAGGTGATCATGCACAGATTTGTTCATGTGTCCCAAGGTGATTGTGCACATATTTGTTCATGTGTCCCAAGGTGATGATGCACATATTTGTTCATGTGTCCCAGGGTGATCATGCACAGATGTGTACATGTGTCCCAAGGTGATCATGCACAGATGTGTTCATGTGTCCCAAGGTGATCATGCACAGATGTATACATGTGTCCCAAGGTGATCCTGCACAGATGAATACATGTGTCACAAGGTGATCATGCACAGATGTGTTCATGTGTCCCAAGGTGATCATGCACAGGTGTGTACATGTGTCCCAAGGTGATCATGCACAGATGTATACATGTGTCCCAAGGTGATCATGCACAGATGAATACATGTGTCCCAAGGTGATCATGCACAGATGTGTTCATGTGTCCCAAGGTGATCATGAACAGATGTGTTCATGTGTCCCAAGGTGACTGTGCACAGATGTGTACATGTGTCCCAAGGTGATCATGCACAGATGTAAACATGTGTCCCAAGTTGATCATGCACAGATATGTTCATGTGTCCCAAGGTGATTGTGCACAGATGTGTTCATGTGTCCCAAGGTGATCATGCACAGATTTGTTCATGTGTCCCAAGGTGATCATGCACAGATGTGTTCATGTGTCCCAGGGTGATCATGCACAGATGTGTACATGTGTCCCAAGGTGATCATGCACAGATGTGTACATGTGTCCCAAGGTGATCATGCACAGATGTGTTCATGTGTCCCAAGGTGATCATGCACAGATGTATACATGTGTCCCAAGGTGATCATGCACAGATGAATACATGTGTTCCAAGTTGATCATGCACAGGTGTGTACTTGTGTCCCAAGGTGATCATGCACAGATGTGTTCATGTGTCCCAAGGTTATCATGCACAGATGTTTACATGCGTCCCAAGGTGATCATGCACAGATGTGTACATGTGTCCCAGGGTGATCATGCACAGATGTGTACATGTGTCAGACGGTGATCATGCACAGATGTATACATGTGTCCGAAGGTGATCATGCACAGATGTGTATATGTGTCCCAGGGTGATCATGAACAGATGTGTTCATGTGTCCCAAGGTGATCATGCACAGATGTGTTCATGTGTCCCAGGGTGATCATGCACAGATGTGTACATGTGTCCCAAGGTGATCATGCACCGATGTGTACATGTGTCCCAAGGTGATCATGCACAGATGTGTTCATGTGTCCCAGGGTGATCATGCACAGATGTATATATGTGTCCCAAGGTGATCATGCACAGATGTGTACATGTGTCCCAGGGTGATCATGCACAGATGTGTTCATGTGTCCCAGGGTGATCATGCACAGATGTGTTCATGTGTCCCAAGGTGATTGTGCACAGGTTTATTTATGTGTCCCAAGGTGATCATGCACAGATGTGTTCATGTGTCCCAAGGTGATCATGCACAGATGTGTTCATGTGTCCCAATGTTATCATGCACAGATGTGTTAATATGTCCCAAGGTGATCATGCACAGATGTGTTCATGTGTCCCAAGCTGATCGTGAACAGATGTATACATGTTTCCCAAGGTGATCATGCACAGATGTGTTCATGTGTCCCAAGGTGATCATGCACAGATGTATACATGTGTCCCAAGCTGATTATGAACAGATGTATACATGTTTCCCAAGGTGATCATGCACAGATGTGTTCATGTGTCCCAAGGTGATCATGCACAGATGTATACATGTGTCCCAAGCTGATTATGAACAGATGTATACATGTTTCCCAAGGTGATCATGTACAGGTGTGTTAATCTGTCCCAAGGTGACCATGAACAGATGTGTTCATGTGTCCCAAGGTGATCATGCACAGATGTGTACATGCGTCCCAAGTTGATCATGCAAAAATATGTTCATGTGTCCCAAGGTGATTGTGCACAGATGTGTTCATGTGTCCCAAGGTGATCGTGCACAGATGTGTTAATCTGTCATAAGGTGATCATGCAAAGATGTGTTAATCTGTCATAAGGTGATCATGCACAGATGTGTTCATGTGTCCCAAGGTGATCATGCACAGATGTGTTAATCTGTCATAAGGTGATCATGCAAAGATGTGTTCATGTATCCCAAGGTGATCATGCACAGGTGTATACATGTTTCCCAAGGTGACCATGCATAGATGTGTGCATATGTCCCAATGTGATCATGCACAGGTGTGTTCATGTGTCCTAATGTGATCATGCACAGATGTATACATGTGTCCCAAGGTGATCGTGCACAGGTGTGTACATGTGTCCCAGGTTGATCATGCACAGATGTGTACCAGTGTCCCAAGGTCATCATGCACAGATGTGTACCAGTGTCCCAGGGTGATCATGCACTGATGTGTACATGTGTCCCAAGGTGATCATACACAGGTGAGTACATGTGTCCCAGGGTGATCATGCACAGATATGTACCAGTATCCCAATGTGATCATGCACAGATGTGTACCTGTGTCCCAAGGTGATCATGCAGTGATGTGTACATGTGTCCCAGGTTGATCATGCACAGATGTGTACCGGTGTCCCAATGTGATCATGCACAGGTGTGTACATGTGTCCCAGGTTGATCATGCACAGATGTGTACCAGTGTCCCAGGGTGATCATGCACAGGTATGTACATGTGTCCCAGGGTGATCATGCACAGGTGTGTACATGTGTCCCAGGGTGATCATGCACAGATGTGTACCAGTGTCCCAGGGTGATCATGCACAGATGTGTACCAGTGTCCCAGGGTGATCATGCACAGGTGTGTTCATGTGTCCCAAGGTGATCATGCACAGGTGTGTACCAGTGTCCCAGGGTGATCATGCACAGATGTGTACCAGTGTCCCAGGGTGATCATGCACAGATGTGTACCTGTGTCCCAGGGTGATCATGCACAGATGTGTACCAGTGTCCCAGGGTGATCATGCACAGATGTGTACCTGTGTCCCAGGGTGATCATGCACAGATGTGTACCAGTGTCCCAGGGTGATCATGCACAGATGTGTACCTGTGTCCCAGGGTGATCATGCACAGGTGTGTATCCCATGACTGTCTCCAGGTTGGGATACTGGGGCAGAATAATAATATATGGGGCAGAATGATGAGGATTCGGGTCATAAAAGATCTCATTATCCATGTTTTTCGCAAAATGATTAGGGAAAGTATTATTCGTGTTTTTAATTTGAAGCAATAAAGCAGTTTTTCTTGCTTTTCAGACAGTGCTTTAGAAACTGGTGTTAGTAATATGTCATGTATCGTCATCAAGTAGAAAATACAATCCTCAGCGGTTCAAAGTTACCGTTTTGAGCAATAGAAAATACTCAATGCAATATTTTGTTTAGATACTGCACGGCAACGTGGTTGATAGCGGCGCATCCGTTTATGCAGCGCGGCGACGTCGTCTGCAACAAGTTTGTGAGGGCAATAAGGGAACGGGCCGGACGGAAAACATCCTCGTCTACCGCAACATGTCCTACGGTGTGGTACCTAAGGCAGGCTGCACGTTTTGGATCCGCGTGTTCCGGTTCCTCCACAACGATACCAGGGGGCGCAACCTTGACAACCCATTCAAGATGACGAGGTATGAAGCCCATGGTGGTCCCAGGAAGATCAAGATGTACAGACTTCAGAAAGAGGAGGACAAGCGTGTTGTCATGGCAACAACACGTTTCATGGTTGCGAGAAACCCATTTACGCGATTGTTCACGGCTTACATCGACAAGCTGTATCTTCCTGACTACTGGTCCAGCGCCGGGAAGACCATCGTCTCCCGCCGAGAGAATGCATCTTCTCGTAGTCTGAGTTGTGGACACGATGTTTCTTTCACTGAATTCCTTGGGCATGTTGTGGATGTCGGTGAACGTAATGCGGTCTCTCTGAACGGACACTGGCGTCCGATAGAGCACGCCTGTAACCCATGCGCATTCAAACCAGACATAGTGGCCACACAGGAGACGTTCTCGCGAGATTCACGCTTCATACTGGAGAGATTCGGACTTGGACATCTATTACAGAACCATTCTCGCATAGATCACGTGCTGGACGAGTTGACAATACTAACCGACTGGAACTATCGTCCTCATGACATGTGCCTGACCCGGAAGCAGTTAGCAGGAAGGTTGTGGAGAACGTTTCAGATCAATGGCTACCTAACTCCTGGCTCGGAAGAACTTTTAGAAGCTGAGTCTTCAGAGAATCTGACAAAAGACAAACTGAAGCAGCTTATGTTCCGTTCCTATCGGGATTCCATTTTGACAAAACAGGAGTCTTCCTCACAGAGGCGATCCTTCCTTAGACAGGCCTACGCCTCAGTACCACGGGGTATACTTGACAGAGTGGTCCAACTATTCAGAAATGACTTCTTATACTTCGACTACGACAGCTCTGTAGACACTCTTCTACATATGTGATAATGACTATATAAACTGCCATGATAGCGAAAATGTATTTGTGTTATTGTTATTAAAAACTATTCTTCTTGATCTTGTTCTCATATTCTTCGACCGCCTCCATGGTCGGCTCGGAGTCAGAAAACTGTGTCTGAGTTGGGTATTTATGTTAAACTGCGACATGGTATCTCAGTGTGGTAGCACTATAAATCCGCATCAGTTCAGACCAGTACAAGCACACACACGCACACACGCACACACGCACGCACACACGCACGCACACACGCACACACACACACACACACACACACACACACACGTCGCTATATTAGTGCAAAAATCTTGGACGCGACGTTAAACCCCATTTCACCTCATCTCACATCATAATCCACTTCTTGTAATTAGGGGGCGGTCGGGTAGCCTTGTGGTTAAAGCGTTCGCTCGTCATGCCGAAGACATCGGTTCGATTCCAGCCATGGGTACAATGTGTGAAGCCCATTTCTGGTGTCCCCCGCCTTGATATTGCTAGAATATTGCTAAAAGCGGCGCAAAACCATACTCACTCTTGTAAGTAGAGTTGTGAGGCATACAGTAGCAGTGCGTTGTTATGACAACCATTAACTGCTCGACTGATATACATCGTCCAATGAGAGATAAGCAAATGGGATCATTTTCGGCGGATAATCTAAACTGGTTATTTTCTTTGCAAAATATTTACATGTGGTTTTACATTTTACATGTAAATGAATAAATTATACAATGTTTGCATAGAATTTAATATATTCAACTAGACATGCAACTGGAGGCTGTGCTCAAATAACCATCTGCCTCAGATATTAGCATGATAAATATTAAGATGACAGCTGGAGGAAAATACGCGAAAATAACTCTAAGATGAAATACCGACCTTGACAGAGTTACGTAATCCATATTCAATCCTAAGGTAGCTTAAGTCGCAGTTTCCGGGATGGAGGGATGTGTGGCATCCGATCCAGAATACCCGTTGTTCATGCGATGAGCCACCGGTTGGCCTGGCCCAGACTCCAGCATTTATAATGCGTCGTAACGGAGTAAAACACCGGACTCACTCACTCACTCAACATTTAGCGATACATGCAGCACTAACCAACATGAAGCCTGTTTGACGCTGGAAGTGTAACTGTGTACTCTTCCCGGGGTAGTTTCATCTACACTAGTTACGTCAATATCTCGTCGTCAATGACGTAATGTCGCGGGACTTTGTCATCCATAACATTTCCTAACTCTTCTCCAAGTCTACCGAACACATAAAGAAGAACTTCAATATCCATCAAATACATGACTGTAATACGTGTCATGACCACACAAAAAATGTTTTAAGTTCAGCAGCAATTTTATTTAAGTATGTTTTGTTTGTTTGTTTGTTGTTTAACGCCGCACTCAGCAATAGTCCAGCTTTATGACGGCGGTCTGTAAATAATCCAATCTGGACCAGACAATCCAGTGATTGGCATCATGAGCATCGATCCACGCGATGGGGATACGATGACATTCATCAATCAAGTCAGCGAGCCTGACCATCCGATCCCGTTAGTCGCCTCGACAAGCATAGTCACCTTTTAAGGCAAGCATGGGTTGCTGAAGACCTATTTTACCCCAGATCTTCACAGGGAGACAAGCATGGGTTGCTGAAGACCTATTCCATCCCGGATCTTCACGGGGTGACAAGCATGGGCTGCTGAAGAGTTCTTCACGGGCGAGTCTGCTCAACCATGTTGCCCACCGGTTTGCTTCTCTTACATAAAGCGACAAATCCCTCTCCAGTATCCATTGTCTCGCTGACTTGACTGATGCATGTCATCGTATCCCCATTGCGTGGATCGATGCTCATAGTGTCAATCATTGGATTGTCTGGTCTAGACTCGATTATTTACAGACAACCGCCCTACAGCTGGAATATTGCTGAGTGTGGCGTTAAAGAACAAAGAAAGAAAGAGATACGGGGACATGCATGAACCACGTCACCTTGTCTGACCACCCTAACAAATTAGCCGCCTCTTACGACAAGCATAGGGATCTATATGCTAACCCGGAATTAACTAAGTGGAGTTTATTGTTACCTTCAGTGCAGCCGAAGATGACGGCGTGGTGCATGATGTTGACGTTGTCGATGATGGGCGTGCTGGCAATGATGTGGTAGTCGGTGTCGTTGGGGATGGAGAAGATCTGACACATGTAGGTTGTTTCCACTGGTGGTACAGATGTCCGTGGTATCTTCAGATCCATGTTTCGCACGTCTAGATGTAAATTGTTGGCAATGTTACTCAATATGTTTCGTAATATCGAACTATCTATAATCCATTAAATGGGTTATAACGCCGTATTGAACAGAATTTAGTTACAGTAAACTACGGTTATAACGAACACGCTTATAACGAACTGACGGATATAACGAACTACTTTTTTGGTCCCGACTATTTGCTGTAGTTATGCTGTATATATGCTTATAACGAACTACGGTTAAAACGAACTAAAATTTGTAGTCCCTTCGAGTTCGTTGTAACCGTACTTTACTGTATATCGTTTTGTTTTTTGTTTAACGTCGCAGTTAGCACTATTCCAGCTGTATGATGGCAGTCTGTAATTTAACGAGTCTGGACCAGACAATCCAGTGATTGACATCGTGAGCATCGATCTATGCAATTTGGAAACGATATTCTTCACTGACCCACGTTAGCCAGCTTGACCACCCGATCCATTTAGTCGCCTCATACGCCAAGCATCGGTTCCGAGGGACCTATATTCTTACCCGGAAGCGGGTGAGGCAGATCTTACCGTCAGCTGGGAGAGATATCTGTGATGGTGTGTACAGTCTAACAGTGATTTGGGTTTAGATGCAATTAGTCCGAAAAGGTTTGTTGGTCCTCTAAAACAGTTGGAAAGCTAAAGCTATTGTTCCCCAAAACCTACGTAGTAATATTGTTTTGGAATCATTGATCAATTGTTTCAGTTACAGAATAAGCCAATTATTTTATAAGGATTGTAGTGTGAGGAGACTGTGTTTGCTCTTGTGTTCAACTTGACGCATGCGCTGAGAGCCAAAGGGAAATCAAAGTATTTTTGGGCAATTGTATGGTGGCCCGAAGCCTTATTACTAAAATAGGGGCGGTCGGGTAGCCTAGTGGTTAAAGCGGTCGTTCGTCATGCCGAAGACCCGGGTTCGATTCCCGACATAGGTACAATGTGTGAAGCCCATTTGTGGTGTCCCCCGTCGTGATATTGCTGGAATATTGCTAAAAGCGGCGTAAAACCTCACTCACTCACTATTACTGCAATAGAATGACGATATACATCCTTTGTGAAACCCACGAGCACGTGTATGACACTGACTGCCTTTTTATTGTTTGTTCTTATGTTGTTTAACGCCGCACTCAGCAATATTCCAGCTATATGGCGGCGGTCTGTACATAATCGAGTATGGACCAGACAATCCAGTGATTGACATCATGAGCATCGATCCACGTAATTGGGATACGATGACATGCATCAACTAAGTCAGCGAGCCTGACCCCCCGATCCCGTTAGTCGCCTCTTACGGCAAGTATGGGTTGCTGAAGCCCTATTCTACCCAGGATCATCACGGGGAGACAAGCATGGGTTGCTGAAGCCCTATTCTACCCAGGATCATCACGGGGAGACAAGCATGGGTTGCTGAAGCCCTATTCTACCCAGGATCATCACGGGGAGACAAGCATGGGTTACTGAAGCCCTATTCTACCCAGGATCATCACGGGGAGACAAGCAGGGGTTGCTGAAGACCTATTCTAGCCAGGATCTTCACGGGGAGACAAGCATGGGTTGCTGAGGATCTATTCTACCCAGGATCATCACGGGGAGACAAGCATGGGTTACTGAAGCCCTATTCTACCCAGGATCATCACGGGGAGACAAGCATGGGTTACTGAAGACCTATTCTACCCAGGATCTTCACGGGGAGACAAGCATGGGTTGCTGAAGACCTATTCTACCCAGGATCAACACGGGGAGACAAGCATGGGTTACTGAAGCCCTATTCTACCCAGGATCATCACGGGGAGACAAGCATGGGTTACTGAAGCCCTATTCTACCCAGGATCATCACGGGGAGACAAGCATGGGTTACTGAAGACCTATTCTACCCAGGATCTTCACGGGGAGACAAGCATGGGTTGCTGAAGACCTATTCTACCCAGGATCATCACGGGGAGACAAGCATGAGTTGCTGAAGCCCTATTCTACCCAGGATCATCACGGGGAGACAAGCATGGGTTGCTGAAGACCTATTCTACCCAGGATCATCACGGGGAGACAAGCATGGGTTGCTGAAGCCCTATTCTACCCAGGATCATCACGGGGAGACAAGCATGGGTTGCTGAAGACCTATTCTACCCAGGATCATCACGGGGAGACAAGCATTGGTTGCTGAAGCCCTATTCTACCCAGGATCATCACGGGGAGACAAGCATGGGTTGCTGAAGCCCTATTCTACCCAGGATCATCACGGGGAGACAAGCATGGGTTGCTGAAGCCCTATTCTACCCAGGATCATCACGGGGAGACAAGCATGGGTTGCTGAAGCCCTATTCTACCCAGGATCATCACGGGGAGACAAGCATGGGTTACTGAAGACCTATTCTACCCAGGATCATCACGGGGAGACAAGCATGGGTTACTGAAGACCTATTCTACCCAGGATCATCACGGGGAGACAAGCATGGGTTACTGAAGCCCTATTCTACCCAGGATCATCACGGGGAGACAAGCATGGGTTGCTGAAGCCCTATTCTACCCAGGATCATCACGGGGAGACAAGCATGGGTTGCTGAAGCCCTATTCTACCCAGGATCATCACGGGGAGACAAGCATGGGTTGCTGAAGACCTATTCTACCCAGGATCATCACGGGGAGACAAGCATGGGTTACTGAAGCCCTATTCTACCCAGGATCATCACGGGGAGACAAGCATGGGTTGCTGAGGATCTATTCTACCCAGGATCATCACGGATCCCCAACTTCAGATGGGGCATTTAACTCTTGTACAGTTTGCGGAAGAGCCTGCTCGTGGACTATCATTT